TAATGGGGAGGGGACTATTTAAATCATATTTTTTGGGGGGGGGGGCTCAAAGTTTTATTATTCACATCAAAGGAGACTCAGACTAAAAGAGTTTGGGAACCACTATAGTACAGTATCATAAATACACGCATACCAAGGCAGACAAACATAACGCTGCCCAAAGAAACTAAGTGATAAAATGTGGCACTGTATCCAGTAGGTCAGCTAATAAAATACAAATCGATGGTTGGTTGTTTTCTTTAACGAGTTTGGGGCATAAATGGGTGATTTCATATTGATCTACTTACGCCTTCACGCTGCTTTAGAGTTTCTTTTAGGCTTTGAATAATTAAAATCAGCTACACTTGTTACAGAAACATGCGTATCACAGTACGTTGTCGATCAATAATAAATTATAATTATATTATAAATAATTATACTATAATTTATAATTGACCGAAATTATAAATGTATAAACAAAATAACTGACACAATACTTTTTACTTGTGCAGACCAAACACTGTAATTAACCTATATGCAGTGTCCCTCCCTCTGGTGTGCCCGTAACTTGTATAACGATATAACGTTCACAGTGTTGTATACAACAAAGAATGTAATCTGGTATTGATATTTCCAAAGTTTGCACCCAACCTGAAAGCTCGTAAAGTTTCAATGTCATCTCAAAGTTTTTCGGATAGGAACTTTCTTGTAGGCCTATTAATATAAAGCTATTTGCTAAAGAATAATACGACTGCACAAATTCTGTCCAACAGATGAAAGTTTAAATGCGTTACATACTGTACTTTTATTAGTTTTCTTCTTTATGATTACACTCGTACAGTTTCAAAGCTTATATTAGACACATACTTTAAACCTTCAAACTCGGTATTGCGATTGTTCACGCTTCCTGATAACGAGAGTAAAACACTAAATTTACAAACCAAGCGAGTACTATCATCGTCAAACATAGGCCGATTTTTTTCACCGATCCCATTATGAAGTGCGAGATTTTGCGCTCATGTTGATATATCACAACAAAGTCAGGCCTATAATTTGTCAAATATAAAAAAAATGTATGGCTTTATCTTGAGTTCTATTCACAGACAGTACAAGTTATATCTTGAGCACACGTATAAACAAAAATACACGATTTTTGTGGACCTTAGTCATTTGACTTTTTTTGGGGAAAGGTCGTTTCATCATTTAAACACAAGGACCCCTTCGAAACAAAATAAATGTTTCATTGGAACGTAAGTTAAAACACAACAGATGACCATTAGACCGATCTAAGTTAACCCTTGCTCATCACAGAAGCCACGTAAAAATTAAAACCACACAGTCTCTCACATCTACACACCGATCAGTAATATTCAGATTATCTTTAATTTTGAACACCTGAATCAAATCAGTACTAATTCTTTATGCTAAAAACAATTCCAAAACTTCAAATCTTTCTATGAGGAAAAGCAAGATTACAAAGATTATTCACTTCATCCACAAAATTGCATAAAAATTAATCCTAAGAAAAATATAATTCATACCCATGTAACTAATCAAGGGTTTTGAAAATATTCAAACATCAAACACAAAATAATTATATAAACATAAAAACAAGTATGCATTTAAACTTCCAAGGTTTAAAACTTACTCCAAATGATCAAGTTCATATTTGTTCCCTCTTCAATACACCATCAATAAGGAAATTTCATACATTTTCACAATATTCAACAAATAAATGAAGTCTTCTCTATTTCTTCTACACCTTAAATTTTAATAAAACTAAGAAAATAATCTTAATAAAATTAATTATTCTTATAGCCTTGCTGTAGAAACTACTTGAAGTTGATGAAGAAAATGATCTGAACAAAGCTATTACAAAATGTCTGAAGCCTTCATACATTATCTAGTCATACAAAATTTTAGGCTGCATACACAGAAATTTACTGAGTGCTAGTTGAAGAAGGTCATCAGTTTTAATTTACATTTAAGAAAGGATGTTGAGTTATTGAAGAGAGTTTAGAGAAGAGTTATCTTCAAAACTTTATGGATAGAAATAAATGAGTGGTCCTTTTGGTAGTGCTCCCTTCGGCTAAACACAGGAATGAACATCTTAGCAGAATCAAAGGCTTAAGTGAAAGATTATCAGGGATATAATCAGAGCAACAAATGAGCTGGTTGTATATGTGGAACAGTTTTCAAGGTAAGAGTGAATTATACGCTAACAATGGGCTCCACTTAAGCATTTTAGGCAATAGAATGTTTGAGGAAGTTCTTAAGACATTCATTAAAAACAGTTAAAGACCAAAAAAAATTGAAGTTTAGAGGTAGAATCTACATGGGTTAAAAGCAGGGGCTTGAAGGAGAAAAAAGCTTATAACTGGCAATTGCATTAGGCAACCTGATTATATAGAAGGGGTGAATGAGAAATTATATAGGGAGATCTGGGTTGTTAATAATAACACTGATGCAATAATTAGGGTAGACTAGTTTTTAGATGCATTGATTGTAACTGTATGAAGACAAACATCAAAGGAGGGGGGGGGGTTGAAATGATTCAAGGTAGTTTTCTACACCAAACTGTCAATTTATTGTTAACCATTAATGAGACTATGAAAGGAAAGCTTGAAAAATATTTTAATAATAAGGGCTAGCTTCGAGTTTTTTTATATTTAGTTTAATTTAATGGATAGGATGGCCTAGGTGGACTAAAAGGTCCTTTGTTGTCCTTTAATATCATAACTGTGGAAGAGTGATCAATGCATAATTAGGTTCAGTGTTTGGCTACATGATAAGAATAAAAGAAATTAAATTTCAGTTCCTGTTTGTCAGAAAGTTAATTTTGGAACCATGTAAAAAGATTTATTATTAATGAATTTGGATAGTGAATCAAAAGACAATGTGGGAGAGATTTGGAGATTTTTAAAAAGTAATTTACTTATAATTCAAGATGGGAATTTTCCTAAAAATAGGAAAAGGATAACAGGAAAGATCAAACCTAAGTGGCTTACTTCAGATATAAGACAAAATCAGAGATAAATACCTCAAATTTAAGAACTTTAAATCAACAGATAGGTTGGAAGATTTAGAGAACTGCAGGAAGGCTAGGGATTTGATTAAAAAGTAAATTAGGAAATCTAAAAGGGCTTTTGACAAATAGTTATCTGATAATGCTAAACTAACATCAAGAATATTTTGTTAAAAGGTGAGCAAAATGTTAAAGTGAGGACTGGACCCTCAAAGGTTGTTGATGGCAAGGTTATTGTTGAAAACTATGAGATGGCTGAGCTTTTAAACATTTTTTTTTCTATTTTATTTTTACAAGAGAAGGTTTTCGCAATATTCCTGTTTTTTAACATTCCAGAAGAAATGTTGGAATTGATCAGAATTTTGTAGATATTAATCTCTTGGTTGTAAGTAGAAAGCCCAGGATTAAAAGTAGATAAAGCACTAGAGCCAGACAAAGTTTCTCCATGGTGTTAGAGATTAAAGACAAGATATGAAAACTACACTCTTCATTTAGACAGGTGCCTGAAGATTAGATAGTTGCTTATGTTACTGTAAAGAGGGAGATAACAGTTGCCCTGGAAAACTATAGGCCAGTTAATCTTTCCTTTGTCATGAGAAAAATTCTGATAAAAGCAGCTTTAAAGTCATTTAGTGAAATATGATAACATAAATGACTGTCAACATAGATTCAGCAAAGGGAAATCTTGTTGCATTAACCTGTTAACATTTTTAAGGATATTATTTAGACAAAGAAAGTTGAGTAGACATGGTGTACTTATATTTTCAAAAAGCTTTTGATAAGGTGCTACACAAATTAGTGGCTA